CTGTCCCCCTGCTCGCTTCTCTTCCTTCCATGTTGCAATATCGCATAAAAGAAGTATTTACCTGGCAGGGAGTTACCAAGATCTGTCCATAATGCCCCCTGTCCTCCACTTTACTGTTACTTCTACAAGATATCCGCTTTTACTCCCTCTCCATGTGTACATTTAGAAAGAAGTCTCTACTGTCTCTGTTGTCATTCATTCTGTTACTGTTACTGTCTTGGCTTGCTGCTTTATTTACTTCTACATTTCAGTTGTTTGGGGTATTCCAGTGGCAGATAATCTCTTTGATTCTGATTTTCTTTCTAAAAAATGTTTTCAGAGTCTTCTTTATTATTGAATATCTTTTGTCCTGTATGGTTAGGCTCAGATTTTCTGGATAGGTTACCCAGGGCTGCATCATCAGGCCATTTTTCTTCCAAATTCCATCTGTTCTCCTTTTTTCTGGTGGGGGTGGAATAGTCTTGCTTTATTTTGAAGGGGGCTTTATTTCTTGATGGCTTGAAGAATTTGCTTCTGGTTAAATTTAACTACTAGTGTCTTTGAGTTTGCATCCATGTTTGTTTGTTTCTGGAGGTAATCTTTGAATTTTTTCCATTGCAATTTCATTTTTCTATGTTCAAAAGTTCTGAACAGTTCTATTATTTCCTTCATTATAGTATTAAGGCTTTTTGTTCTGCCTTAATCTTTGGGGAGACCTATGATCCTTTGGTTGTCTTTACACAACCTGTGGTTGACATATGTATGATGATCAATTTTAATGTTATTTAATGTTAATTTTTTAATGTTACTGTTCTTTGCTTTTTTTTTTCCCTTGGATTTTCTTCACTTCTGTGTATTCACATTCCCAGTCTGTTATCTCTCTTTGGTGAGGCTTGCTATTTAAGATTCAAATTTTTTTAATATGCTCATTAATTTTTCCATGGAGTTCATAAATTCTGCTCTTACAATTATTATTTCTCTTCTAAACTACCCAAGAACAGTGTGTTGTGGTTCCATGTTCTCCTCAAGTTTCACAGGGTCTCTATCTCAACCAGTGTTAGATCATTTTCCTTTATTTTGCAATATTAATTCATAGATGCCTAAACTTTTTTACTAGAACTGGAGGCCACATTTCCTTCTGTTGTTACAGTTTTTCCTGTTGATTTATCTGTTTATATTCAAGGTCTTTAAGATTTCTTCCTGAAATCTTTGGTACTTTCAGTCTTTTTTTCCTTATCACCTACTTCTTGACTCCCTCCCCACTGATTGTGGTTTCCTTGGGGGTTGTATCTCAGAGCATCTCAGAGCATCTCAGCCTCCTCCCACACGGGATCTTTATGGCTCAGCAGGCTAGGTTTCTGTTCAAACTGACTTTTGAGTGGTCAAAACAGGTCCCAACTGGGTGCTGTGTCTTTTCCTTAGGCTGGATGGGGTGCTACGCAACTCACCGACCCCCTGCCCTCCTGTACTTGGTGTGCTGTCCTGGTAACCTGCCTCAGTCTCTCTGTTCCTTGGTTTTCTGGCCTTGCGCTGACAGTTCAGAGCCTGTTTTTCCTGGCACCACTAGTTCAGAGCTTTGCAGCACTAGTGCTTTTGGGTTGCAGGCCCTGGAAGATTTGTGTTCCAGAAGGGCTGTGGCCAAGCTGGCTTGCATCCTGGAGCTGAGGTCTCCATGCCACTAGAAAGAAGGACAGAGGACCAAGTTAATAGGAGTGTTTTGTTTTGTTTTTTAGGCAATTGGGGTTAAGTGACTTGTCCAGGGTCACACAGCTAGTAAGTGCCAAGTGTCTGAGGCCGAATTTGAACTCGGTTCTCATGATTCTAGGGCTGGTGCTCTATCCACTGTGCTTCCTTGCTGACCCTTGGAGGAAAAGTTTGAACTGGTTCTGTTGGTGCTTTCTTGGGTTGTTATTCCAAGCTCTCAAAGACAAATTAGGCTAGGGACCTGCAAACTTTCTGTCCTCCCAAAGTATTCTGACCCAGGGCAAAGTCTGATCACTGACTCCCTGGTGAACAATGATCTGGTTCTGCTCATCTCTCTTTGTATCAGTTCATATAGGTCTCCGTGTTTTTCTGAACCCTCTCCCCTTTGTCATTTCTCATAGCACAATAGCACTTCGTCCCACTCATATGCCACAACTTGTTCAGCCATTCTTTAATTGGTTAAGTGTCCCTCCATTTCCAATTCTTTGTTACCACAGAAAGAGTTGCTAAAAAATATTTATGCACACATAGGTCCTTTTCCTTTGATCTCTTTGGGGTATTGCTGGGTCAAAGGTTATGCACAATTTTATAGCCCTTTGGATGTAATTCCAAATTGTTGTCCAGAATTGTTGGGCCAGTTCACTACTCCACCAGCAGTTCATATAATGTACCAGTTTTCCCTCGTTCCTTCCAGCATTGGTCATTTCTGATAGGTATAATAAAGTGGTACCTCAGAGTTGTTTTAATTTGCATTTTTTAATCAATAATGATTTTAGAACATTTGTCATATGACTAAAGATAGCTTTGATTTCATCTTTTGAAAACTGCCTGTTCATATCCCTTGACAGTTTATCAATTGGGAAATGACTCTTATTTGTATTTGACTCAGTTCCCTATATATTTGAAAAAAATGACTTATCAGAGAAACTTGCTGTAAAAAATTTTTTATGGTACTTCATTGTCATATCTTTTTTCAAAATATAGTTTCCTGGATTATCTCTCTCAATTAGGTCTGCTTTTGCTTTGTCTGAGATCTTGATTGCTACCTATCTTTTTTCTCAAAGTTTTTTTTTTAAAGCTTTTTTTTGGGGGGGGTGAGACAATTGGGGGTTAAGTGACTTGCCCAGAGTCTGAGGCCGGATTTGAACTTAGGTCCTCCTGAATGCAGACCTGTTGCTCTATACACTGTGCTACCTAGCTGCCTCTTAGAGCATTTTTCATATGACTAAAGATAACTTTGATTTCATCTTTTTAAAAAATTATTTACTTATTTATTTTTAGTTTTCAACGTTGACTTTCATAAGATTTTGAGTTCCATTTTCTCCCCATCTCTCCCCTCCCCCACCTCAAGACAGCATGCAATCTGATATCAGCGGTACATATACATTCATATTGAACCTATTTTCACATTAGTCATGTTGTAAAGAAGCATTAGATAATGGGAGAAACCACAAGAAAGAAGAAAGAAACCAAAAAAAGAGATCAAATAATGTGCTTTGATCTGCATTCAGACTCTTTCTGGATGTGGATAGCATTTTCCATCGTGAGTCCTTTGGAGTTGTCTTAGATCCTTGCATTGCTGAGAGGAGATGAGTCTGTCAAAGCTAGTCTTCTCACAATGTTGTTGTTACTGTGTACGATGTTCTCCTGGTTCTGCTTATTTCACTCAGCATCAGTTCATTTATGTCTTTCCAGGTTTTTCTGAAGTCTGCCTGCTAATCATTTCTTATAGCACAATAGCCATTACATTCATATACCACAACTTATTCAACCATTCCCCAACTGATGGGCATCCCCTCAATTTCCAATTTTTTGCCACCACAAAAAAAGCTGCTATAAATATTTTTGTACATGTGAGTCCCTTTCCCATTTGTATGATCTCTTTGGGATATAGACCTAGAAGTGCTATTGCTGGGTCAAAGGGTATGCCCTTTGGGCATAGTTCCAAATTGCTCTCCAGAATGGTTGGATCAGTTCACAACTCCACCAACAATGCTTTAGTGTTCCAATTTTCCCACATCTTCTCTAGCATTTATCATTTTCCTGTTTTGTCATGTTAGCCAATCTGATAGGTGTGATGTGGTACCTCAGAGTTGTTTTGATTTTCATTTCTCTAGTCAGTAGTGATTTAGAGCATTTTTTCATATGACTATAGATAGCTTTAATTTCTTCCTCTGAAAACTGCCTGTTCATATCCTTTGACCATTTATCAATGGGGGGGGATGACTTGTATTCTTATAAATTTGACTCAATTCACTATATATTTTAGAAATGAAGCCTTTTTCAGAGACACTGATTGTAAAAATTCTTTCCCAGTTTTCTGCTTCCCTCCTAATCTTAGTTGCATTGGCTTTGTGCAAAAACTTTTCAATTTGATGTAATCAAAATTATCCATTTTGCATTTCCTAATGTTCTCTATCTCTTGTTTGGTCTTAAATTCTTCTGTTCCTCCATAAATCTCATAAACTATTCCTTGCTCTCCCAGTTTACTTACTTATAATGTCAGCTTTTATGTCTAAACCGTGTACCCATTTTGATTTACTTCGATTTAATTTTTTGAAAACTGCCTGTTCATACCCTTTAAAAATTTATCAATTGAGGAATGGCTCTTATTTTTATTTGACTCAGTTCTCTATATATTTGAGAATAATGGCTATTATCAATTGGGTAGACAGAAAGACATAGTGGATAGAGAACTGTGGGTTCATGTCTGTTGTAGCTTTTCTCCTCCCCTACGCCCCGCCATACTGGCTATGATTTATGCTGGGTGAAACGCTTTTAATTCTCCATGTTCTAGGCAACTCTAAGACTGTAAGTGGCAGAGAACATGCCAAATTGTATTGGTAGAGTTACCTCATCTGGGAGTCATTACACCAATGAAATCACAGATCCTCTCTCTCTCTCTCTCTCTCTCTCTCTCAAAACTAAAAGCAGCAATATTTTTTGTTTTAGAGGAAGTATGGTATTGTGGAAAGAGCATTAGGTTTTAGAGTTAGAGGTTAAGTTCTTACTACTGTAATGCTGGCCTAGTTATTTCTGTAGTTCTCATTTAAAACAAAAATATTAAAAGGGGTGGGGTTGGACTTGATCTGAAGATCACTTCCAGTTCTGATATACTATGATCTTTGATCCTAACAGCTACAGATTTTTCTGTTTAGCAGTATTATATTCCTTGTTATATTAATAAACCATTGTTGTTGTGGACCATTTTTCAGGGTATTTAAATAGCCACTAGTTCTCTTCCCTTAGTTCTGAATTACTGAGATTTTACATAATTTTAATTTATAATACTACATCATTTGTGTCTTATTTTTCAGAAATCAGTCAATTACAGATTTCTTCAAACCAGTCCCAAAGCAAGGTTTGTGAGCTTTTAAATAACTTCCTGCTTTTTCCTTTTTTCTTTTTTTTTTTTTTTTGGCGAGGCATTTGGGGTTAAGTGATTTCCCCTGAGTCACACAGTTAGTGAGTGTTATGTGTCTGAGGTCGCATTTGAACTCAGGTCCTCCTGACTCTAGAGCTGGTACTCTATCCACTCTGCCACCTAGCGGCTCCTGGAATTCTTTTATGTGGTAAAGATAACACTGTTCTTCATAAACTTACTAAATTCTAAAAATAACAAAAGTCTGACATGGTAGTGTTTTCCTACATTTAAAATTATAATAGTGCTCACAGTGCACATGTTCTAGAGTCTTATACACAGGCATTTCTGGTGGAAATAGAAGGCAATATATTAAAGCTCTTAAAGTTGTAGTGACTGATGTCTGAAGTGTGAGTGCCTCTACTTCCACTTTAAAATTCTCTGTCTTTAATCTAACTAAAATTTTACTTTTTTATTTCAATTTTAATCTTTTTGACCTTTTCTGTTTTTGTTTTTAACTGAATATACAGATAGACTTGTGTTGAACTCGCCACAAAGGACAAATCATAAACATGAAAGAGGTAGGTTACTGGACACTGGTATAGGACAATTTGAAAGAAAAATATCCACAACAAGATATATGTGTAAAAAGCTGTCAGTTACATCACCAAACAAGAGTCCTATTATAGAGACTTTGATGAGAAGATTTAAAGAGAAAAAAGGTGAAAGAGGTGCACTTGAGAGAAACCAGCCTCCTATGGTGCAGAACACCCAGTCTTTGGTGGTTGAAAAACCTCTTATTTCTGCTTCACATCATTGCATGTCAAGGAATGAAATGAAAGACCCAAGGAAGCAAGAAAGATCTCCAATCAAAATGTCATCACATAATCATGGAAATATGAGGGAAAAGGCTGAGTGCGTAGATCAAAACAAGACAATTACAGATGCCAAAAACTTGGTTTCATCACCAGAGCCTGAGATTTTGGAAAACAATTCCAGCAAAATTGGTGGTAGAAATGACATATCCAGGTGCCAACAGTTAAAATGTTCTGTGAAAATGCAACAGGAAGCAGTTGAGTCAAAGCTTCAATTGTCGTTAAAATCCAGTTGCAGAGAGGAAGAGCTAAAGGAACAGAGACAGAAACTAGCGAAGCACAGAGTCATTTCTCCAGAAAAGGCATTTTCAGGAGAAAGCAGCCTTTCCTCAGAACCTTATAATATTACAAAATTCACATCAAGACAGAAACAGACCATGCAGAATATCATCCCAGAAAAAAGCAGACTTTCAAACCAGGTATGTGTGGTAAGAACTGAGTAGCTGCATTTGTAAAATCCTAGAACTTTTTTAATGCAAAAATTGGTGTCACACAATTGTCCTCTAATATTGAATTTGTATTAGGTGCTGGTTTTCTATCTTTCTTACGTCTGTCCTCTGGAAGAGTTCTAAAAAGTCATTCTTAAATTGACTCAGAGAAACAGGTTTTTGTTTTGTTTTGTTTTGTTTTCCCAATGCTGGACTTAGAAAGTGATCCATTCTTTCTTCGTTCTTATTTAGTGCAATCAGCTAAGGAAATAGTAAAAGTGTACCTACTTGTTCTTATTCAAGTTACCAAGCCAAATTATATCCCTGGATATTAAAGAAATTGACTAATGTGATTGAACTGCTATCTATAATATTTGTTAAGATTTCAGGAGGATGGGTGCCATTTTTAGGGAAGCAATGCTATGTAAATTTACTAAATTAATTTATTATTAATTAAATTAAAAAACTTCTCTGTATACCAAGCATTTAAATAGAGGGAGTTGATATATTTATTAGAGGTCTAAGATAAGGTAACATTAACTTGAAAACAAAATTTCCAAAGAAGAAACAAAATGGAATTAACTTATGGATGGAAAGTTAACTGTCTGTGCACTATGTATAGTTAGAGGAATTAATTATATCTTGATTTTTTTCCACTGGGGCAACCAGGTGGCCCAGTGGATAGTGCCAAGCCTGAAGTCAGAAAGAGTCATCTTCCTGAATTCATATCTGGCCTCAAACACTTACTAGCTGTGTGACCCTGGACAAGTCACTTAAATTTGTTTGCCTTAGTTTCCTCATTTGTAAAATGATCTGGGGAAGGAAATGGCAAACCAATCCATGATCTTTGCCAAGAAAACCTCAGATGGGGTCACACAGAGTCGGACTTGATTGAAATGACTGAACAGCTTTTTCCTCTAGGCCACCTTTGTTTGCAATCTTTGGTTCTTTATGTAGTGCTCGTCATCAGAGGCTAGTAGTGTCTTGTTTTGCAAGATGCTGTTTGGGTGCATTTGTCTTTTTAAAGTGGGAGGTGGTAATGCACTTCCGAAAGTAAGCCGTTTACCTCCATTTCCCTAAGACAGCTGTTTCTGAACTACTGTTTTTACTCATGTTACAATGTACTTCATTAACCTTGTTTAACTTTATTTTTCTGTAGGCTTTATGAAGTAGCTGGTTGTAAAGTGGATGGGAAGTCCTAACTTCAAATCTACCACAGACACTAGTTGTATAATCCTGGGCAAGTCTCTTAACCTGCTTGCCTCAGTTTCCTCAGCTGTAAAATGGAGATAATAATAGCACCTATGTGCCAGAGTTGTTGTGAGGATTAAATGAGATAATATTTGTAAAAAGCCCTTAGCACAGTGCCTGGCACCAGTATGTGCTATATGAATACTTATCCCATTCCCATCACCTTCCCTCCCTTATTTAGTAGAATTTAAATTGAGCGTAAGAAAACCATACTAATTTCTGAAGGCTTCTTAGCTCTTATGGTAACAAAAGCTGAGATTATTAAACTGTAGTTCAAAGGTGCTAATAAATTTAAATCTAATATAAAAATATGTAATTTTTCCTCACTCCCAGTTTTTTTTGGGGGGTATTTCATTTCTTTGTTAAAAAAAAAAGTGAACATTCACCCACTTACACCTCAAAAGTGACTCTCTCATTTGGTTACTAGGAAAATGGATGCCACTCAAGAAAAAGATTACGTTCTGATTCACTGGAGGCTGCTTCAGGTAGAACCATACAATTAAACAGAATGTGTAATTGTAAATAAAGGCTTGCTTCTTAGTGACTGCATTTAAAAAAAATTAAGTGATGTTATTTGAGAATATAATTTTCTTTCTGACTGAACTGAAGTCTTAGAGTAGCTAAGAGTGGTAAAATGATCTGACAGGAGGTGAAATCTTGAATATATTCTATGTGAAATGTGTGTCCTATTTTCATTATTGTGTCCCATTTCTTCCCCTTCCCCCCCCCCAAAAGGGGCTCTTGAGATAGTGTGGCATAATGGATAATAGTTTTGGACTTTGGATTGGCAGATCTCTGCCCTTAGACCTTGAATGCTGTGTGACTTTGGACATGTCATTTAACCTCTGAGCTTTTGTTTCTTCACCTGTGAAATGGTGATATAGTAACACCTACCTTACCAGGCTGTTGATGAAATAAGCTATCTTACATGCTTTGTAAACCTTAAAACTGTAGACAGATGTGTGCTATAATTATTCCATTTAACGTTTTGGTCTTAGCATATGCATTGTTGTACTGATAGGACTTAGAGCTTGGAAGAGACCTTAGATCCAAGCCCATTCCTTCTTTTTATAGATGAGAGAACCAAGTACCAGAGATAGATAGTGATTTGCCCAGTGTCATACAGGTAATAAGTAGTCAACTTAGGTCTTCTGACTTGAAGTCTAGTGTCCTTTTTACTATACTATGTTCTGATAAAGGTTTCTGATGAACCTTGCCTTGTTCCACTTTTCCCTATCTTAGTATGCCTTCTTATCATTTTTGAATATTTCAGAGTAAGGAGACTTGATTTAAACCCAGGCATTTCAGTTGGGTATAAGGACATAAATGATGTGTTTTTCAAATCTGTAAATGATACAAAGCTAAGAAGGATAGTTAAGATTACTTACTGACAAAATTAGGATTCAAAAAAAATCAGTTGATCAGGTACAAAATGAGGTAAGTATAACTATGTCATATGAAAAAGATTGGGGGGAGGTTTAATGGTTTGCTCAGTGTGAGTCAGCAATATGATGTACTAGCTAAAAATTGCTAATGGCTTCATTTTTTAAAAATAGGATTCAGAATGAAAGATGGAAATCTCACTATAAACTGCCCTTCTTAGACAGTGTCTGGAGTTACTGTGATCCTTTGTGGCTGCCACGTTTTAAGATGATCATTGATTAGCTAGGTTATGTTCAGAGGAAGAGGACTAGGATGAAGAACAAACAGGAGATCCTGCAATCTGTGGGTTGGTTGAAGGAATTGGGGATATTTAGCCTTGAGAAGAGAAAACTTAAGGAACAAGATTGTTGTCTTCAAGTATTTGGAGGACTCATGTGAAAGAGGAATTTATTCAAGGTAGATTTATCCTACTTTGCCCACAAAAGCCAGACAGAATTAGTAGGAGTAATGGACAAAAGGTCTGAAAATGTAGGTTAAGGTATAGTATAAAGAGAAACTTCGTGACAATGAGAAAACTATCCAGATGTGAAATTAGTTGTTTAGGAAGAGTTGTGGTTTCTCCTTTTCACAAAGTCGTCCTCAGCTAAAGACTGGGAAAGCGCTTGTTGGGGATATTAACATATGAACAAACTAAATCTTGGAAAGACTGTGTCTTGCCTATCATCTCGTGGCTGGTAAGTCCCAGGTAAAATTTGAACCCAAATCTCTCCTGACTCCAAATCCAGCTCTCTTTCTGCCATACTCTTTAGAACCTGTAGGAGGGAAATGGAAAATTGTAACCCTGATTTCAGTTATAAATTATTAATTATTAAAACTGTCACCTCTAACTGGCTTATTCAGCCCTTTCAACTAATACATTAAATTTCTTCCTTAATAGTCCTCATTCTTGGGGCAGCTAGGTGGTGCAGTGGATAGAGCTCCAGCCTTAGAGGCAGGAGGACCTGAGTTCAAATCCGGCCTCAGACACATGGCACTTACTATCTGTGTGACCCTGGGCAAGTCACTTAACCCTGATTGCCTCACCAAAAAAAAAAATAAATAAATAAAGAACAATCCTCATTCTTGATGGGTTCTCAGTCTCTTTTTTGTGAGCAGTGAAAGAATTTCATATTGTTCTCTGCATGACAGTTCTCCGTAACATGACAGTTGGCTACCTTCTTTTGACTTTAAACTTCCAATTACGACAGACTAATAGAAGTCTATCCCAGGTCTTCTTATATATTTCTTTTTCTCCTAGTCTTGTCCCATATCAGTTATTTGTGGCCTTGTAACAAGGCTCTTAGGGCAGTTAGGTGGTGTACTGCAGGGTTTCTTAAACTTTTTTCCACTTGTGACCCCTTCAGCGCTTCTTAAACTGTGGGTAGTGACCATATATGGGGTCTCGAGTCAGGAAGACCTGAGTTCAAATCCAGCGTCAGACACTAGCTGTGTGACCCTAGACAAGTCACCTAACTCTTTTTGCCTCATTTTCCTCATCTGTAGAATGAGGTAGAGAAGGAAATGGCAAACCACTCCAGTATCTCTGCCAAGAAAACCCCAAAATGGGGGTCAGAAACAACTGGAAAACAAAGCACTGTGACTTTGGACAAACCATTTAGACTATATGAGCATCAGTTTCTTTTTATGTGACTAAAATGACTGAACAACAACAAGACACTTGATCCATTGGAAACTAAATTATTCTGACCTGTTTTTTTCCAGTCAAGGAATGGAAGTACCTTCAATGAAGCAGAGAAAATGGGACTAAGGCCATACCTGTGTATACAGGCAAATTGAAATAGAGTTGAGACATTTTAATATTTTGATAAAATGTGTTTTAGAATGCATCACAATTGAGTTTTATCAAACTTACTAGGATTTTGAAAAATGTCCTAGGTTACATTGATTTTGGGGTGTGTCCTAATTAAATTATCCAGTTAATTAACTTTTCACACCTGTAGGGTAACGTGTTATAAAGGAAAGAAGCTAGGGACCCGAGTTCTGATCCCAGCTCTCTTATGTGACTTGTATCCTTCCTGAGTCTATAAAATGGGTCTTGTAGTAACTGTAGATTTTATTTCACTGGGGTGTAGTGAGGACCAAATGAGATGTGCTCTGTAAATGGTCATTATTTATGTGACTTTGGATAAATCTTTCCACCTGTGTGGGCAACAGCTCAGTTCTAGTGTCTGCCATATGAGAGGCAGTATAGTACATTGGTAGGGCCTCAGTGTCAGGAAGGCCTGGGTTCAAATTCTGCCTCTGACACATCCAGGCTGTGTGAGGTTAGACAACTCACTTGGTCTCTCAGTGCTCCAGACAATTCTCTACAGCTATCATTTGAAGAGTTGGTACTGATCTGCATTGGCAAAAGGAGTTTTCTTAATAGAAATTAATTATACTGATGAAAACATAAGTCTGGGTCAAAAAAAGCAAAATAGAATTGTGAAAGGTACACATTTAGAAAATCACCAGTCCAGACAACAGTGTTAAAAGTAATGGTGTGGGGCGGCTAGGTGGTGCAGTGGATAGAGAACTGGCCCTGGAGACAGGAGGGACCTGAGTTCAAATGCAGCCTGAGGCTCATAACATTTACTAGCTGTGTAACTCAGGGCAAGTCACTGAACCCCAGTTGCGCCCCCCACCCCCTGTCCCAAATGATCCTGAATTCAAAGGCCAATGTAAAGCAACTAACGCATTTGCTGAGAAACCCTCTTAAAAGTGTAATGCATATAGAGCTGGCCTCAGCAAGACTTAGCCTCAAGTTCTGATGCTAATTCTCAATGGCTCTGTGTACTTGGGCAAGCTATTTATGAGGAAGTATTGACCAGATTCACATTGCAAATACCAAAGAAAATTAGTTGGTTATAGGAATTCTGGTTACATTTTCAAGCACAGCTCTCACTTTTTTCTCAGAAATAGCCACAGATTTAAAAACAGTATCAAACTCTCAGAAAAATATAGCTTTCTACAGTTTAGCATCAAAAGAAATGAAACATTCACTTTCTCCTTTATGTATTTTAGGTACTGAATCCTCTGGGATATCAGATACTAAAACATGCATTGTTTCATCTTCTAAAAAAGAGAGAGAGGTCACCTTACCTGAAGCACCTATTACATATCCTTCTGTGTCACCCAGGATCACAAAACAAACAGAGAGGAACTTCAGAGATGTTGCAAATACATCTTCAGTGAAATCATCTAGTAAATCTTTGCCTTGCAGTATTACTAACAGTCCTCCAGCTGTACTTGGAGATGTTGTACTGTGCAGCACAAGCATTTCAACGCCTTCATGTAAAAACTTAGAAAATTCCGGTTCCACTAGTGGTATACCAAGAAAAAAACTAAAGGTTTATTTTGATAGTGATGAGGAAAATTTAGATTGCAACCTGGAAAGTGATGAAGAAGATGTTGCATTAAAACCACTGCAAGAAATCATGTCTTTGAATTCCAGTCAGCCTACAACTCCAGAAAAACCTTTTGTTCTTTTAGAAAAGCCTAGAGCATTATCATCAAATGTTTCAGTAAGTAGTTCTGTTTATTAGTATTGCCTTGAAAGAAGGAAGGTAGATTAAGAAAAAGCATTGTCTAAAAAAAAATTCTGGGTTTATTATATTACTTCCTGGTTTAGCAAATGAGTTCTCTGTATACTTTTAGTTTTTGTACTTTGTAAGTAAAGTTAGGATGTAGAGGTGTCAGGAGTTAGAGGCTATAAGTCAGTAAGATCCTTCATTCCACCTTGGGAGAAGAGCTGAATTAAATTCTAAAATGTTTGGTTTTGAAATTTGGTTGTTGAATAGGCTACCTGTAAACTCATTTTGGGTGGTTGCACTATTTTAGAATTTATGATTTAATGAGTTCAAAATATAGTTAAGAAGTAGAGCTTCGATATGATACTGAGATCTTGAGTTTATGCGCTCAGTTTCTTATGATCTAAGGTTACAGTACTGTATAAAGAAAATAAGGATACGTTATTGAATATCTTAGTATTAAAGTCACTTAACTTGATAGTAGTGTCAGAAGTCACTTTAATATCAATTTTAGCATGCATAGAAGGCTTGGAATAGAAAGTGATCTTTCTGATTCTTGAATAACGACTCCCCAAATAGCCTAATTCTATTGTTAAAAGCTATGTTGCAAAGTACATTTCAAATTTTCTTTTCATTATAGGTGAGTGTTCGTTACCAGTGTTTTGAGAACAGTTTAGAGCGCCTAGCAAAGGAGAGTGAAAATCTTACAAGGTTAGCACTGTGTTTTATTTGATTGGGTCAACCATCATTCGTATGGAAGCATGTCTTCCCTGAACCCAGGGTTGTATGGCCATAGGCCAGACTTTCTCTGCCAGCATAGCACTCACCCTTCTTGTGCATTTAAACAAGAGACACAGTCTCTAGCTTTCTTTGTCTATAAAGGCATCCAAGATAAAAGATAACTGCATTTATGGTGGCATAATGGTCTCTTAAATCCTGACTTGAGAGTACTGGTGGTGAAGTGTGTCTCCCTCTTGTTGACAGAGAAGCATTGGACAACAGTTGCAAAATGAGTCATAGTCTAAGGCTGATATACGACAACTAGCTCATTGGACATAACCAGTGTGTTGGTTTGTTTTGCTTAGCTAACATTGGATTGTAGTGAAGGCTTCTGTTGGATGGAGACAGGTCATCGTTAGGAAGTGACAGTGGCTGTAAGAAAGAAAAACAGATTATTTGCTTAAAAAAAGTGGTCTCTCTTTACATAGTATCAATTTATTTGTCTGAGTTGCATTATCTTATTCATAGACTATAAGCTCGTTTTAAAATAGAATATTTTATTGTTAAATGGCATTGTAAAATAATTTTTGTTTCCCACAACAATAACATCTGACTGATAAGACAAAGCCTTAGGATCAAAAGCACAAGTAAAAATTGTTTTTATATTTCAGTGCTCATTATACAGTGCTAACAGATGTGGTTTCTGCCCTTAAAAGTTGATTCTAGGTTACATATTTGATGGGTGCATAGAAAACTTGACTAAAAGAACTTAAACCTACTGAGAAACTCAATTAACTTTCTAAAACACTTTTTATTGTTTGGCCAATATAAAATAAAATAATATGTGATACAAGTCATATGTAAACAAATCAGGGGTCTCTATTCCCTTGGACTTTTTATTCCATTTGTCGTAACTTATTTAGGGACATTGAGGGCAACATTGAACTAACAGAAGGTAGAAGAAATCTGTTGGAAGACTATGGTGCTGGAGACCCTTTTAGAATACGAGTAACTGGGCACAAGAACACCCAGTTTATAGACTTCACATGTTTTAGAGATTTGAACTACAATGCATTTTACATTTTGCTTTGAACCATAACTTAATCCCATGAAATGACTAAATTTGTCATATAGCAAAGTGTTTTATAACAAAGGCTTTCTTGTATTGTTATAGCTGATCATAAAAATTGAGAGATCTTTGAAATATAAATTCTGTTTATCATGTCATTCTTTTACTTCTCCTAGGTCAGATGAATGGGAAAAAGAGCTAAAGGAAGATTTAGTAAAAGGTCAGGGAATAAAATCCCTAATTGAGACAGAAGAATCAGAAAACACAGATGACAGTGGAGAACTCCAAGAAGAGCATAGGTAAAAAGCTTTTTGTAAAGATACACTTAAATTTCATTTACATTTCAAATTCTATGTAGTTATTTAGTCAACAAATCTAATTGCCTCTTTTTATGCTGCTAGTTACTTTGTAAGCATTGTTGAGTGGTTATGAGAAAAGTGCTTTGCAAAATTTAGAGCATGATATCAATGTGAATCATTTAAAATTTATTTCGTATCAGAGATTTAAAAATTTTTTTGATGTTTTATTGATGCATTTACAAAATATTACTATTACTTTCCAACCACATGCTCTCTACCATCACAGGACCCTCCCTTCCAAAGGAGCATATTCAAACAAAACAAATCAATACATTGGCCAAGTCTAACAGTGCACGCTTCAATCTGCCCCTGGCACATCTCCACCCGGAGAAAGGAGGCATGTTTTACTGTCAAATCTTAAATTAGTTGTTTCATTGAACAGAATTCTGATGTCTTTCAAAGTTGTTTTCTTTACATTACTGTAATAATTGATTCTCTTTATTTCATACTGTAGCAGTTGATAGAACTCTTCCCAAGTTTCTCCAAACTTCTTCAGTCTTTTTTTTTAATTGCAATAATATTTCTCCACATGCCTATAACACAGTTTGTTCAATTGTTTTCCAATTGGATATCTACTTTTCCCCCCAAGTTTTTTGCTACCACAAAAAGTGCTGTTATAAATATTGTATGTGGGACTTTCTCCTTTGTCGTTGACCTCCATAGGGTTTATGCCTAATGGTGTTATTGCTGGGTGAGAGAGTATGTGCAGTTCAGTGATTTTTCTTGTTTACTTCATCACTTACTTCCTGCTTCCTTCACCTCTGATTGTGGTTTCCTTGGAGGCTGGTTTTGAAAGCATCTCAGCATCCTCTCACACTGGGCAATTTATAGTTTATCAAGCACAGGTCTCTGCCTCAAGTGACTTTTGGGTTGTCAGAACTGGTGGTTACTGCATTCTTTCTCTCAGGTGTGGTGGAGTGCTACCCAAATGCGTGGTGTTCTGTCTCGGTGACCTGATCTGTGGGCTGACACCAGCAGTTCAGAGTGTTTTCTCTGGCACTGGCAGTACTGGTGCTTTTGAGTTGCATCCCCTTGGCAGGCTTTTTCTCCTGAAGGGCTGTGGCCAAGCTGGATGTCAAGGGGAGCAAACTTCTGGAGCTCAGGTCTCTATAGTTCAGGAAATAGGGGGGGAACTAGAGTGTAGGTTTGGATGTAAGCCTGTCTCATGTTCTTGGGTCTCTTAGTGCGGCTTCGCTTCCAGTATCATGGGAGGTTGAGGAGGAGTGCTGAACCTCAGGGTCAGTAGGCATTAGTTTCTGGGATGGTTTTTTTTTTATCTTCTTTTGGATTTTGGTTGTCCTTGACCATGGAAACAGCTGAAGTTCCTTTACCTTTGGTGCATAATTTCTGTTTTGGAGAGGTATTAGATGTCATGGGGATTGTATCAGAGTTTTAAAAAGACTATTACAACTACTTTCTCATTTTATAGATGAGGAAGCTGAGCCCTGACAAGTGAAATAACTTGCCTGAGGTCACATACCTGGTTGTTATAAGAACCCAGACTATTGAGTCTGGGTTTCCTGACTGGCTAGTGTTCCTTCTGGTGTACTTTGCTAACTCCAAACTTGGCTCAATCTGAGCAATCCTTTAAGTTTTAGTCCTCCACAAAGTTGATAAAAATGAAGCCTCAGAAGATGCAGAAATTAATATTCACTTGAATTCTTTATTGTATACGAATACTGTTTAGTCCTCAGTAATGTGAGTTTTTTGTTTTTTGTTCTTTAATAGGGAGTTTATAAGGAAATTCTTCATTGCTTTTGATACCATTCCTGATTGCCATCCTGGCGAAGAAATATTTCACTGTTTCGATTATGGAAAAATTTTCAGTCAACATACATTGGACTTAAGGGATTGTAATTTTGTTCCAAAGAATGCTATCGAAGATCTTATCCTTAAGTAAGAACAGCAGCCACAACAACAACAGAATTACAGCGTAAACTAAAAAACGTTGCGCGTGCAGAAATCTTGCCATTATAATTTGATCTTAAGCATTATTCTGCTCGGAGGGTGATTACTTTCTATAACCTGTCTGGTATACTCTTAAACTTACTTTTGCTTCCTGTGTTGCCTGATTAAAAATAGAAGGTGGCAAGTCAGTTCATTATGTCACTTCTCCAGAGTTGATGCAGTCTTTCCCAGGAAGTCTATTCCCATAGATAATAGGTTCTAGGGAGTCTAGTTTAAGCATTGTCATTCCACACCTGGTGAGAATATAAATAATGACCCCAAGCTGGAAGAGTGAATGGCAGTTACACCTGAGCCTTCATGAGGTTTTTTTCTTTCTCAAATAGGTTTCTATCCCAGAGCTTCCGGTATCTGCCTCTCTGTTTGACTACCAGTAGTCCTGGGATATTTACTGATAAGTTACAAATAGAGGCTAGATAGAATTTCAGGCAGCAGGTTTCACAGGATCATAAAACAGAGAGCTATAAGGGACCTTTTTAGAAGTCATCTTCCAGTCCAGCTTTCTCATTTTGTAGATGAAGACTTAAACTAAAGAGGTGGCAAGTGGCAAAGCCAAGATCCAGGTCCTCTGCTTCCATCCATCACCTGTTCTTGTCACTGTGCCTTTCTAACATGTAGATAATCAAGGCCCACCTGATAACTGCCGGGCTGGGATAGGGATGGAAATGATATGTGATGGTCCAGCAGAGAAAGAGAGCCTAAAGTAACTGTGAGTAGAGATTAGAGGGTGGTGATTCTCTAGGACTCATACTAGAGATTCAGGGTAGGGATTCAGAAGTTAAACAGACGATAACTTCCTTACTTATGTTAGGAACCTAACTTACTCTACTGTCTTGGTTTATGCCTGAATTTCATAATAAATGCTTTTTAACTTTAGCACTTCAATTGAATTAGAGAAGGGAGGTGTGCTTGTCCACAGGTAACCTAGAAGAGGTGGAGTAATCAGTGTAGATTACTCCACTAGAGTGGAGGCTAGCTAGGCAAGGCCTACCTAGCAGGGAAGAGAGAGGAGAGGGGCTGACCCCCAAACTGCTCTGGGATATAGTCCTTTAGGTAAGGAAAACCTTTCAGAACATGCTTGGAGAGTAGGCTGCAGACCTGTCTCTCTTCCATCTCTAAGCCATTCTGTACAGGATAGGTGGTTCCTAGTGCTTTCCTAGAAGCTTAGGTCACTATGCCAAGCAGTCAGTTCCAGCTGTTTCCCTGGAGCATAGCCATTAAGTACCAAATCAGAGCAGACCCTAAACCAACAACAGTAGGTTGTTTTTGAACAAGTTGTACATTTATCACAGGTGTTGTTAACCAGCTGCAGAGGAAGAGAGCACTGTGCACTAGCTAAACCAGAATGAGGACCTTTTTCTTTTTCAGTTGAATGTTACCATAATGTCCTGGGGTATAATATTGGTTTCCCTTGTTTTGCAGATCAGGAAGAACACAGCAAATTTTTTTAACAACACAAGGATATCTCAGCACCGCCTATTACTATATCCAGTGTCCTATACCTGTGTTAAAGTGGCTGTTTCAGGTGAGAGGAATAATGTGTTTGCCTCACCTTTTGGGTTATCTCTCTTTATGAAATTTTAAATTCCTTGAAGACAAGGAACTATGTCTTATCGACATTTTTATATGCCATAGCATCTAGCACAATAACTCATACACAGACAGTGCCAGATACATTTGTTTGAACAAGATGAAGATCATTAGAAAGGTATTTCAAAGTAAGAAGCGTTATCCTAAATCAGGCAATAGCATTTATTCAGTACAGCCATGTGCTAGCCCCTGTTAGACACTTGGGAGACTAAGACAGATGCAATGATCCCTGTTGTCAAGGAGCTTATGTTGTCTTGGGGAAGACAGCAAGTAACAGTAACAATCTACTACTTAGCATATTAGCTCCTACATGCCAGGCACTGTGCTGGGAGCTAGGGAGACAGGTCCAAAGTATGAAACATTCCCTAGTTGGAAAGGACTTCCATTTTTATGGGGGACACAGTGGCTACATGTATAAACATATATATATATATATATGCACATATATACATGTATATTCAGACATAAATATAAGGTAATTATGGGGAGGGCACTAGTAGCTGAGAGGATCAGGAAAGCCCTCATATGGTCTTTAGACTGAACTTTGAAAGGTACTAGGGATCCTAAGTACTGAGATGAAGAGGGATGGGAAAAGCTGGGATAAAGTCACAGAGATGGGAGATGGAATGTTGTATCTGAGAAACAGCAAGAAAGAAGTCCCCCTTTTTTAATGCTTATCATGGCTAGAAAGGTAGGTTGTAAAGGGCTTCAAATTCTCAATAGAGGAGTCCCTGTTTGATCCTAAGAGGGAAGCCGCTGGAGCTTACTGAGCAGGAGAGTGATGTGGTCAGACCTGTGCTGTAGAAATATTACTTGGGCAGCTCTATGGAAGATGGATTGTAGAGGAGGGGAGAGCCTGGAGGCAGGGAAACCAGGGAGGAGGTGGTCCAGCTGAGAGGAGACAAGGGCCTCAGTTGAGGTTGAAGCAGTGTGAGTGGAGAGAAGGGGACAGACATGGGAGATGCTATGTTAGTAGAGTCAGAGATCTGGCAACTGATTAGATCTGTGGAGTGAGATATTGAAGATGACTCCAGTCAGCAAACTGTTCATCATAATCTCAGTATTTTTTTTCCTCAGTTTTTGTGACATGAACAGTTTGCTTCTTCTGCAGTCTAATAGAAACAAGCTTGGAGATATTGAATGGATGATCTAATGAAGACTGTGATGAAATAAAAAGAGGACTGACTTGATAGTCAGGAGACCTGAGTTCTAGTTCTGGTTCTGCCACTAAGTAGGCAGTTGGGTGGTACAGTGGATAGGATGCTGGGCCTGCAGTCAGGAAGACCTAAGTTCAAATGTAGCTTCAGACATTTAATAGTGGTGTGACCCCTGGACAAGTCATTTAACTCTGTTAGCCTGTTTCCTCATCTGGAAATTGATCAGGAGAAGGAATTGTCAAACTACTCATCTTTGCCAAGGAAATCCCAAAAAAGCATCAAAAAGAGTCAGACATGACTGAAATGACTGAACAACAAAGCACTGTGACTTTGGACAAACCCATTTAGACTATATGAGAATTAGTTTCTTTTTATTCCAAATGAGTGGGATAGTCTCTCTCTAGTCACTAGATGAGCTCTGAGGTGTTGTAAAACTCTTAACATTTTAGGATTATTTGATATGCTTGAGAAGTTTTAAGAGTTATAAGGATAGATCATCTAGTCCAGTCTCCTTATTTTATAGATGAGGTAACGGGCCAAGAGAGAGGAAGTGACTGCCAATGTCACGTAGTTAGTTGGTGACAGCCAAGACCAGCAACTGATCTCATCACCTAATTCAGTAAACCTTCCACTAAACAATACTGCTAGTTCAAGAATTGGAACGAGCCTGTCTTCATCTTACCTAAGTCTCTCTGTCTCCATTTTCCTCCATTGTTCCTTCTGACATATTTTCTGGACCCTTTATCCTGGTTGATCTCTGGTTTTTCGGTGTCCTTAGTATAAAATTGAATATAATGTTCCAAATATAGTTTGACCAGTAGATTATTCCCCCATTGCTGATCTTGAAATTCCCACGAATGATCTGAATGAATTGTATCTTCTTTCTGTTTTGCCCTCCTTAACTCTGTTGGGTTACATAAAACCTGAATGCTACCTATAATTGTCATTATACTTAATTCCATAGACAAAACCTAAATTGATCTACCAGCAGAAGCAGTAGTAACAGCTGGTGGTCAGCTAAAATTTTGGATCTTTTTTTCACATGCACTACTATCAAGTCAGGTCCCTGTTACCCAGTCCTTAAGTAATTGATTTTTTAAAACCTTCAGCTTAAAAACTTGACATTTGTCCTTGTTACTGACTCGTAGAGTCATAGGTTGATAGATCCAGAAAGAGACTAATAGATCATCTGCCTAACCCCTTGTTTTACAGATGAAGAAACTGAGGTCCGGAGAAGGGCAGTAACTTGCTCATGGTTGCACAGCTAGTCAGTGGCAGAAGTGGCTGTTTAACCCTCTCGGTCCAGCCTGTACAGATCTGGAACCTGATTTCTACTTTGTTGTTCGAAGGGGGCTGCCCCTTTCACCTTCCTGTCGTTGGCAGATTGGGATACGCCTGTCATCTATGCCTTTTTCTCTTGAGTCATTGACAAAACTATTAAATAGCACAGGGCGGCAGTTAGTGACTACTCTGGGTCCAGCCATTCACTTACTTCCAAATTTACCTAAGTGTATGCTCAGCTAGGTGGTACCTCTCTGTCTTATCCACAAGTACCAGAAAGCACCTTGTCAGATGCTTTGTTTAAATCTAAACACCCTCCATCTGTAGTATTCCTTTGGTCACCAGCCTAGTGACTCTGTGCAAAAAAAAAAGAAAAGAAAAGAAAGATGCCATGTCATGCTCTTGACTTGTGGAATCTATTAAACCCCCCCGAATCTTTTCAGATCAGCTGCTTCTCCCATTTTGTGCTTGCCCCATCTAAGCATCTATGTGTAAGACATTCTGGCTATTTCAGTCCCTTTTTGTGTCCCCATGTTCACTCATTTGTGGCTTTGCTACTTAAAAATTGTTTATCTGATTGTGACCCGGTAATGTTACCACCCATGGCTGAGACTAGTACAGTCTCTTTTTGCTTTCAGCTTTTTCACATGTACTGCCTTTCAGCTCTCATTAGAAAATACATGAAATTGCCATGGTTTCAGTTATGCTTTCCTCTAAATTATGTGTAAAAAAATTAAATAATGATTTTCTTTTGACAGATGATGTCTGTTCACACAGACTATATTGTTTCTATACAGCTTTTGAATACATTGATAGACTTAACAATTAGAAATGGTAAGTATGCAGATACATTGTTTCTATTTTCTTAGTATAGAGCTGTTGGGTGCTGCTTGCTTTGGGACTCATGTTGAGGGAAGGTAGGAAAGGAAAGGGGAGAATAAGAATTTATATAGTGCCTCCTATATGCCAGGCATTATGCTAAGTGCCTTTTTTGAAAAAACAAATATTATCTCATTTGATTCTTAAAACAACCCTGTAAGGCAGATGCTATTATTTCCGCCATTTTACATTTGAGGAAACTGAGACAGACAGGTTAAGCAACTTGCTCAGGGGGTTATGTAGCTAGTTAAGTGTCTGAGGCAAGACTTGAACTGAGGTTTTCCTGACTCTAGGCCAGCACTTTATACACTGTGCCACCAGCTGCCTCTGGAGAGGATTAAGTATGTTTAGTGATTTAAATTGCTTGTGTAATTTTAAAATGTGTAGTAATGGAATGAGGTGCTCATGACCTGTTTCTGATCAAAGTTAAAAAGAGTATCTGTGTGTTCCAGTTGTACAGGAGAAAAGAGTTTCCAAATCATTTAAGTGACAGCCCTAATTGGGTAATTTCCCAGCTTGTGGGTTGCTTTGCCAGAAGTGTTGGTATAATTGGAAGTTAAAAATTAATTGGGATGTAGTCAACAGCAACAAACAGTATTACACTGAGAAATAGATTGGCATCATGCACCGTGATAAGGATAACAGTTGTAGGCTAGTGTAATTTTTTCAGGGGGTGGAATTGCCATTTTTGAGAGAACACTTCTGCACATAGCAACATGTTCTTGTTTACCTGTGGATTATGTAAGTCTGTAGAAGGTGATTTACCTTCAATTTGGTAATAGGTGGCTTTCAAGAGCAATATTCTTTCGAAGTCTAGTTAAACAGTGGTTAACTAGGCTTAGAAATAATTACTACTGCTAGTATTAGTACTGTTACTGCATTAGTAAATGTGGTTGAACAAATATCAAAGAATGGTTTTCTTCCTAACTGTCATTTATCGATTGAGCCATAGGTTTTCCAGATAAAGAATTGGTAGTATGCCTTTCAACTGTTTTTAAAGTTCTCTAAAATCAGCTTATTTGCTATTAAATCTTGTTCTCCCATGTAAATTTTACCGTGAAACTGTGGGAACAGTGTGTAGAAAATGCTTTTCTACTTTGGAAAAGTGTCTGTAATCATGGTACTCATATTTTGTCTCTTCTCTAGATGCCACTAGTGGATCATCAGTTTGGCCTTGGATCCCATCACTGTCCGATATTGCAACTGTGTTTGTCAACATGGGAGTTAGTTTTAAGTGTTTGTTTCCTGTACAGAATCTTCAGCCTGCCTTCAATGAAGATATTTTGTAAGTTTTCTTTTACGTATTAGCACGGTTTACTAGCACTGATGTTTGGGGGGCAGGAAGACTGCTTAAGATATGTTAAAGAAATGTTCAGAGTTTTCAAATTGTGCTATAGGAAGTTGTTTCACCCTAATTTTCTTGTCTACTGCTGTGTACGGGAGATAGAAATGTAGCCCAAGGACTGCTGAATCATAACACAATCGAGAGCTCAGTTCTTGTTATAAGTCACGTAAAAGTTGTTGATCTTGATATGTCTTTCTTGTCTAGAAAGTAGATTGTGGCCAAAAGAGGGCTTGGACTAAGTGAATTTGAGAGGGTCCAGTCTCTTCTAACAATAACATTCTATAACTATAATTCTGTAAGCCCTTTAAAAGTTCAGATCACTTCCCTTTGCATGTGTTCTGTAGCACTAGTAAATGCATGAGTGATATTCCATAATAAAAATTAACCCATAATTTGGTCCCCTTCAGGTTTGACAACTTCTAATCAGTTATATAGGTGTATTTTGTTTCAACATAACATTATATAGAGAAATAATTATTTTGAACTCAACAGGTTTCCAACTACAGCCTCCTAATTTTTAACTTCTTCCCTCAATAACATTCAGTGTATCAGCTCTCTGCCCTCATTGGGACCTGCAGTCATATGACACTCCTTAATTTACCCAATTCAAACCACTTTAACCATATTAGATATCCTGCTCGGGCTAGAGGCCATGCTTAGCCACTTTACTGCTGTCTTATTAATATTCTAGATCGTCCTGGCCCTTTAACCCATAGTTAATAATGGCCATGCATGGATCATTCTGACCATCCATGTTCTTCATTCCTTCTTCTGACCCACAGAGTATCACTGGGAAAAATTGCAGACTGTGGATAACCTGCACAGCAACAAACCCTGTTTAATTTCAGTTAGGCAGTTATTGCTATGCTCAGTGGTTCTATTTTTCATCTCCCTTAGATTCCTTAGTATTCATTTCTACCAGTGGCTGTTCTTAAAGTATTGTTTATGGTAGTTGTGATGGTGGAGGTAGTGGTGGTGTAAATCTTCACCTTTTTCAAATCCTCACTTTCACCATCTTTCAACTCATAGCAAGTACGATGATCTTTTTACTAAGAAAATCAAGATTCCTCAGAAGGGAACTCCTTCGTTTTTGTCTCCTTTTTGCCTCTACTTATCTCTCTGTTTTCTTTCTGCCTCAAAAGAAGTGAGACATTTCCTTAATCTAGTACTAACTGTTGCTTTTAACTTTTTTACCTTCTTGACCTTTTTACCTCAAGCAGAATGTCTATCTCTGGCATCTTTAGACCCCAAGGTTGTGTAGTTGATAGAGTGCTGGGCCAGGAACCAGGAAGACTTGACTTCAACTATGGCCTCAAACAAATACTTAACCTCTTTTTGCCTCAGTTGCCTCAACTGTAAAATGGGATAATAATAGTACCTGCCTCAAAGGTTGTGGTGAAGATCAAATGAAATCATATTTGCAAAGTGCTTAGCACAGAGTCTGTCACATAATAAGTGAGACGTAAACGCTAGCTGCTATTATTACTGTTAATTTTTGTATTCATTCCTTTTACTTACAAACGAGCAGATTTACTTTTTTTTCTTTTTTTAAGAAAAAGCTTTCACTTGAACTTGCTAACAGCCTTCTAGCTACCACTATGTTTTCTCCCTTTTACAGCCAAATTGGTTTCTGATTTATTTCTGGTCCTGACTTCTCTGCCTGCCTCCAGGATCTTCCCTTCCTAATTCATCATATACACTAATTGTCTAATGAATTCTCTTAAAGCATAGTTATGATTGTATTACTCCTTTGTTCAAAAACTCTTCCTGACTCTCCATTTCCTTACGGGCTAAAAGCTCCAACTCATTAGCCCAGCATTCGAGGTCTTCCACCTTCTAGCTCCTTTTAATCTCATACTTCCATGAAAGCTTTAGTTTCCATTTACTTAGAATGTACTTTGATTTTCTTGCCTCCATTCATGCTGTTCACTCACATAGCCATCTAACTTTAGTTAAGCCCTCTTCACCTCTCACCTGGAGTGTAAAAGGAGCCTCTTAATTAGCCTCCTTGCCTCTAATCTTTCCCGATTCCAATCCATCCAGGATGCCCCGAAAATGATCTTCTCCAAAATGCAGTTCTGAACAGATCTCTCTCTCTTCACCCCTCTCTCTTTGTCTCCCCCCTTCCCCCTCTTCCCCCCCCATCTCTCCCCTTCTTCCCCTCTCCCCTTTTTGGCCTCATTACATATTCTTTCTTGCAGTGCTCTTTACAATCTAGTTAAACTGGCCTTCTTGCTGCTCCATTTCACTTCTCTTTGCCTTTGCTCTAGCTTTGTCTCTTGCTTCTATAACTCACTCCTTTCTCACCTATACTCCTTAGGATCCCTGCTTCTTCTTCAAGACTCAGATCAAGTGCTGCCATCTTTGTGATCCGTTTCCTGATCAGTTCCCTACTCCTTACTCCCTCCACCCTTGCTCGTATATTTCCTCACAAGATTATCTGTTATATAGGTACTGGTATATATTTACGTGCATGCATGTTGTCTCGCCTGTTAGAATGTAAGTTCCTTGGTGGTAGGGACTGTTCTGCTTTTGTAATTGGCATATAGCAGCCATTTAATAAATACTTATTGATTGATTGAAACCCCCCCCATTTCCAATCAGAGAATCATAGATTTAGAGCTAAAAGGGATCTTAGATGTCATCTAGTCATCCTTTTTTTTTTAATAGGAAAGGAAATTAAAGCCCATAAAAGTTAAGTGACTTAAGGTTTTAAAATGTTTTCCTACAACAGTCCCTATAGTTAGGTATTGTAAGTATTATCCTCATTTTACAGATAAGGAAACAGGCTGGGAGAAGTTAAATGACATGCCCAAGGTTATATATTTAATAAATGTCTTCGATGGGATTAGAATGTAGGTCTCTCCTGATTTCAAGTCCAATTCTCTTTTCACTTTAAAATCAGTGCTGCATATCAGTCCCTGCGCATCATTATCTATCAAGACCAAACTCAAATGTCAACCTCCAGTGCAGCCTTCATTGACTGCTTGAACCACAAGTCACAGATTCTAACAGTTAGAAAGGATCCCAGTTCTCTTTTCCTTATCTGCTTCAGCCCAACTTTCCCTAAATCCCCATCCTATTTTTCCGTCCCCTTCTGTTACGCCTTCAGGAACTCTCACTCTATTGTTAACAAACTTCCCCTAATATTAGACTTCTTATTCTCCTGTTTTTTTCCATCTTATACTCACAGAAACATAGATTTCCTCTATCCCTGAGACAGTGCATGACTGGCTGTCCTCTCTAGTGCCAGACATATTGTTTCTTATGTTCCCTATACACTTAACTCTCCAAGACAAAAGGGTATACCGTGTTCCTCTTGCTACTTCTAGATTTTCCTGCCATTGTCACTGGGCAGTTTCACCTTTGAGGTACATTCCATTCATCTTTATTGAGTGCTCTCTTCAGAGCTTGGTGGCGTGTTCTTTACTGGTCCAGATCATTCTCCTTCCTTTCTCAGAGAACTCAACACTGGTCTCATAGTCTTCCTCTGCATCCCAATTCTTGCCCTCATACTTAGGGGTTTTAGTGTACAGGTTGATGTCCCTTCAAACACCCTGGTTTCTCAACTTTGTCAACTTCCACTTTCATTTCACCTCAGTCACATATATGAATTGGTCTCACTGTCCTTAACCTGCCACTATAAAATAAAGATGACCTGTCACTTATGTCACCTTGCTGAAAGTCCTTTAACATCCCTGAGCCTCAGTTTGCTTAACTGTCAAATGAGAGGGTTGGACCAGATGTCCTCTAAGGTTCTTTCCAGCTCTAAATCTGTAATCTTAGGAATCATCACTTATGATTGTTTGACCTCTGATTCAGTACTCTGAAATTCATCTCTCAGGTAATAACTTTTTATTCTCTCTCTTCCTCACTTCTCCTAAACTTACTCTTTATCTTCATTATGACCTCCATTCAGTCACCCCTCTCTGCCTTTCCAATTCGTAATCCCTGCTTCGTGCTCTCTTTTCTAAATCTTGAACTTAGGGGTAACCAGTCACTAACCTTCCCTTGGCCTCAGTTTCTTCATCTGTACAATGAGAGGGTTGTATTGGCTGACATCGGAGGTTCCTTCCAGCTTTAGAGCTGTGATTGTAAATTTCTTCTTCTCCCATTCCCTCAACAAGTCACTTTACCTCTGTCTGCCTCAGTTTCCTCAACTGTAAAATGGGGATAATAATAGCACCTATGTTCCAGGGTTCTTGTGGGGATCAAATTGTATAATTGTAAAGTGTTTTACACAGTGCCTGGCACATAGTAGGGGGTTAACAGATGTTTGTTTCCTCCCTGCTGTTACCCCATCCCTTAGATCCCTTTTAGCTTCAGCTCAGGTGCTACTTCCTATGCAGTGCTTTCCTGATTCTCCAAGTTGTTAGTACAGTCTCCCTCTGAAATTATTTTGGATACCTTTGGATGTAATTTGTATTTACTTATTTTGGGGCTTGTGTTTTCCCTACCCCTATAGATTGTAACCTCCTTAATGGACAGGATGTGACTGTTGTTTTGGTTTTGATCTTTATGTGCACAGTACCTTAGGTAAAGGCACTTAATGAATGCTTACTGAATTGAATCTATAGTAGCCAATAATTCCTTCTATAATGTCCCCAACAAATAGTTGTCTGTCCTCCTGGTCAAAATCTTACCTGTATGTGTGTTTGAGGGGGCGGGGTGAGTGGAGTATCCTTTTCCCTAGGCAATCTGTTATATTTTTGAATAGCTCTATTAGGAAATTTTTCCTTAAAGTAAACCTAAAACCTGCATTTTTGCAAATTTACTTGTTTCTTGATCTAGGGCCATGTATAAGATTTCTCTTCCACATAACTGCTCTTACTATACTTGAAAACTGTTTTGATGGTCCTACCAAATCTTCTCTTTTTCAAGCTAAACATCACCAGTTCTTTGAGCTTTGTATGGCATAGCCTTAAATCCTCTTGAATTCATAACATCCTTCTAGACACACTTTAGCTTGCTGTTTCTTCCTCAGAACTGTAGATAGTACTCCAAATGTCATCTGGCTAGAGCAGAATATAAAGAATTAACTTGTTCCTTCATTCTGGACATTAGTACTTTTGCATTCCTCTGAATTTCACGTATCTTTTGTTTCTGCCACTTACTATGCTTACATTGTGGTTATATTGTAATTTTGTGTATCTTGTCCTGTCCTTTCTCTTAGACTCTAAGCTTCTTCTGGGGGTCATATTTTATTTATCTTTCTGTGCCTCACCTTGCACTGCCTTGTACTTGAAAATGATCATCTGGAGGACCTGAGTTCAAATATGGCTTCATACACATAACACTCACTAGCTGTGTGACTCTGGGCAAATCACTTAACCCCAATTCCTCACCAAAAAAAAAAAAAGATCAGTAAAACATTGTTGAATGAATGTTATATGCATTTCACATTTCTTTGTTCATTTTTCAGTAATTTTGAGGTACAAAACATATCTGAAGAAAGAAAAGGTGAAGATTCTATAGCAGAAACTGTTGTTTCATGTCTTCCAGAAACCAACATTTTAAATGTAGTTAAGGTAAGAAATTTGCCTTTATCAGTCATTTTTGTCTTTTTTGTTTGCATTCAGTTTGAGAATTCACATGGAAGAAATACTCTTTCTGGAGAAAACAGTGATAATAATAAATGATGCTTTTGCCTAAGTTATTAGTATGATCAAGAGTATTTTAGGTCATTGCAACTTTTGGATTATTTTTTCTCAGAAGATTTTTAATCAGTTCTTTGGGAGGCAGGACTTGATTAAGCAGAAATCTATTTTTACCACCTACAATTTTGTTTGGGGATCTACCTGAGTTCCTATATCCAAGTACGAACATTAGAAAGCTAGAGAAAGGGTTGGCAGGGGTGGTTCTGTCTTGTTTTGTAAGGATTGAATCATTGCCAATCCCAATATATCAGAAGTAACAAGGACATTTTTCTGAATTTAAAAACGAGGTTAAATACCTTTCCTTAGTAAATGAATTTCACTTACTTTTGTGATTGTGTGCTAAGTTTATAGGCTTGTGTACAGCTGTATACCCAGAAGGTTACACAGATCAAGAAATAATCTTGCTGCTTTTAATGTTCTTGAAAATGAGTTTGGAAAAGCACCTGAAACAGATTGCACTAGTGGACTTTCAGAGTCTCCTGATAAACCTGTTGAAAAACATTAGAGATTGGGACACAAAGGTAAGAGATGAAGCTACCAAAGAATATAATACTAGTTTGGTGTTAGGAAAGCAGAGATTTACTTTCAGTGCAGGCAGAATAAAAATGTGTTATGTTCCTAACATATAACCTGACATCTGGTAGTTGAGGGGTGAATCAGACATAAAGAAAGATTGCATTTGTTTAATATGTGTTAAAATCATGAAAATTATATCTTTTATGTAATGCTTAATCAGGGCTTCTTAAGTTGAGAACCCCCTGAAGTTTTAAAAGATGTTGATAACTGTATTTCAACATAAATGGTTTCCTTCATAATCCTGTATATTATACATTTGTGAACATTATTTTGAGAAGAGGCCTGTAGACTTCACCAGACTGTCAAAGGGGTGTGGTCTACAACAAAGATGTCGGACATGCAGCTTATAACACTCCTAGTGCATCCCAAATTAGATTAAAATGTAATTGGGAAATGTTTCTCAAAAATACAATAAGACATACATAATATTACATTTTTAAACTAAGTCAATGTGCAGCCCACAGGGGTCCTTATGTATGATAGATTAGTAACTCTCATCTGTATTTGAATTTGACACCCCTGATCTACAACACAAAAAAAGAACTCCTGCTTTAGATCTATAAACTCAAAAGTGATTTCCACCTTAGATTTGCTTACATTCACGTCAGAAGGCACTTTTGGGGAGCTTGCACCTGTGAAATTCTGAGTATGGAGTTAGAGAACTAGAGATTACTTCATTCTCTAAAGAACACATTTATTTAGAGAAGGAAGATTTGTTTATCAATATCACAGTAAATTCCATATGTAGAAGTGGAATTTAGTTGTACTAATATGGTCTGTGATCATAACACAGGACTAAACTGAAGGTCTGAAGATTAGGTTCATCTTAGCAAAGAGCTCTAACTCCTCTGTGATAAGTTAATTGGAATCTTTAAGTGCTTTTTCATAATGTACTGGTTTTAAAAGTAGGGATTTGGAGTTTGCGGGAAGCAGGTTGGGAATAACATAATGTTAAGGCTATGTGAATGGACTTTGGGGTGTTCAGTCCTTGCGTGGTAACCATCCTGAAATGTGCTTCTTTTTTCTCTGTGCTTTTCAGATGCCTGAACTTTGTATGGCTATAAGTGAGCTGTCCAGTCATCATCACAACCTTCTATGGTTGGTGCAGTTTATCCCTAACTGGACAGTACGTGGAAGGTATTTGAGACTATGGGAAGGAAAAAAAAAAGATTTTAATAGCAACTACATCAGATCTTTCTATTCTTTGTACTTGTCTCCCAGCTCTTGACACACAGAGTAGCTGCTTACTAAATGCCTGTTGAAAGTGCTCTTCTCTTTTTTTTTTTAATTGCTTCTCATCATCCCTGAGTGGCAGATCAGAATCGTTTCTCTTCTTTCTATTATGATAATATATAGATCCAGCAAGAATTGAGTGTGTTGCTTAACCGATGTTATTTGCTTCTTGGACCCTGGTTCTGAAAGTCATTCTTGACTTTATAAAACATTCATGTAAAATATTTCCCCTCTTACATCAGTAATGTTTGTCTCTCTAGAATATAACTCTCTTGGAACATATTGGATCCATTTTAAAATTGGAATAAATTGGGGACTAAGAAAAAAAATTGTGTTTTTTTTAATTCTTCCTGTTTTGCTTACCAAAAATATTATTAAAAAATAAATGTAAATACAATTTTGAATTCTGATTTTAGGCAAGTGAGACAGCATCTCAGCCTAGTGATTATTGCTAAATATCTGGACAAGAAACCTGAAGATATTCCAAGTGCCAGTGATCTGCAGGTATGAATGTCTTTTTATATAGTAAATTAAATTTAGCTGTTGGCTGATTTGTGTGTGCGTGTGTGTGTGTGTGTGTGTGTGTGTAAGGATTCACTTTAGGGATTTTGAAAGCCTAGAACTGTTTTAAATTGCTTCTCACAACTGTTTTGCCTTTTTCTTAGGCTACTAAATAGTCTTTTTGTTTATGTGTGGTTTTTTTGGTTTTTATTTTTGGTTTTTTTTGGGGGGGGAATTGGGGTTAGGTGACTTGCCCAGGGTCACACAGCTAGTAAGTGTCATGCTTTTGGTCTGAGGCTGGATTTGAACTCAGATCCTCCTGACTTCAGGGCCAGTGCTGTATCTACTTCGCCACCTAGCTGCCCCCTAAATAGTCTTTTTAAAAACAGTTAAAATTTGGTTATCCAGTATTGGTTAATAGTAATGCCAAGACATAAGAATTTGACTTTCCTTTCTTTGAATGCATCTATTTTGTTTTTCTACAAGAAGTAGAAAAGTAAAAGACATTGCAGATAAAGCAATAACCCAATGGAAAAACACTTAAAAATTCTAAATGTATCTATAGTGGTAGATCTGAGGTTCTTTGAATTTAGAATGAGCATACTTCTGTTTGAATTTATAAATATTTTGTGATAACTAGTGTCTGTATGACTTTTAAGTTGTCAGTGATTGACAGATAGTGGTGTTTGCCCCCATAGAAGGAGAAATAGGAAACAACTGGCTGGGATTCTTGCTTCTGATTCTTACCCATTTTCCTTTGAACTTTGCAAGTGCAAACTAGGACCACATTAATAGTTAACTCTCAGCTTAGTAGTCAGTCTTCAAATAAAAGAGTTTAGTGATGATATATTCAATCCCATGCATGGCCTATCCGTTCCCTGATTCAGTGAACCTTCTTTACTCCCTGGAGAAATAAGAACTTCACGTAAATGTATAAAAACTAGAATTTTGGGGGCAGCTAGGTGGCACAGTAGATAGAGCACCAACCCTGGAGTCAGGAGTACCTGAGTTCAGATTCACCCTCGGACACATAACACTTACTAGCTGTGTGACCCTGAGCAAGTCACTTAACCCTGTTGCCTAGCCCCCCCAAAAAACAAACTAGAATTTTTTACTTTTTTGGACAGCTGGCCCATTCAAACATTTGTCCTTAAATTAAAAAAAAAAACCCATTCTTCTAACTCAAAATTTCCTTTAAGATATTAAAGACTTTTAAGTAAAAGGGAGTAATCAGTGGAAAATATATACACATATATGTGCATGTAGAAGGTATTTCTAGGGAGGAAGAGTAATATAATGCCAAATACAATACTTAAGCATAGGGGCAGCGAGGTGGCGCGGTGGATAGAGCACTGGCCCTGGATTCAAGAGGACCTGAGTTCAAATCTGGCCTCAGACACATAACACTTACTAGCTGTGTGACCCTGGGCAAGTCACTTAATCCCATTGCCTAGCCAAAAAAACAAAACAAAAAAAACTTAAGCATATTATTGACACCATTCTTATAAATTAACATGAATAATTATTCATAAAGAGAACAACTTAAAAGAGATATCCAGCAGAGATCAGTGCCTGCTATACTACTCATACTTTGCCCCTTCTATGTCTTTCCTTTGGCAGATGTCTCTTCTTTGTCAGTACCTTACACAAATGAAGCCTGATTTGTTAAGGAAAATGATAGCAAAGAAAACAGGTGAACAACAGGATAACCTTACCAAAGACTGTTTAGGTCTAGACCTTGAGCAACAGGTATGTTTTAAGACTAGATTATTTGATAAGCATACGCCTCTCTCCCTTCTTTGCAGAAGTGGGGGACTTTGAAAATGGAATGCTTTGTATGCTGTCAGACTTGTTTGATGTGTTGTTTAGATGAAATGCTTTTTCCCTCCTCTCTTATTCTTTATTGTAAGGAACAGTTTTCTGGGTTTAGGAGGAGAAAGGTAGGTAGATAGCTGGATAGATTTAGAAATAAAGGTGATATAAAAATAAGACATAAATAAAATCTTATTTTTAAAGACTAAATTATCTGGAAGCACATGAAAACAAGTTTGACCTTCCTTGAACTTTATAATAAATGAATTTCAGGAAATTGGCCAAAAAGTAAATCTTATTTTTGCATTTATTTCTGCTATGAAATTTTTAGATAAAACTAAGTAGTACAAAATAGGTGTCATTATAATTTCTTTAAGACCATAATTCTGGAAAAGGATCTGTGTGTGTTTTTAAGTGTTGTTTTTACCTTAAGACACCTCAATTTTAGTACTTCTGACTATAACCCTTGAAATATTTGCTTTCTAGTGTTTTGGCCTAAGGTATTATTTCACCACTAAGTAACTTCAGTGAATAATTGATCTCATCAGTTTGGGTACTCTTGCTTTTATGCAGATTGCAACCCACCCGTGGTTTCCCATCGTAAGGCTTTTCTTTATTTCCTTCTGTAAATCTGGCACAGTTGATTCATACAGTTTGATGGGTAACATTTATTATTGCAATGCTGTCAGATTGGAGTTCATTTAATTATATGCCATCTTTTTCTTATTGTTATTATTTCTTTTATTTTTATTAATCTTTGCTTTAACACATTTACAGTCAGCTGTATGTAGCTGATGAGGTGAATGTTTCCCACATTAGTCATTTCCTCCCTGTCAAAATGTAATGTTTTATTTTTCTTATGTTTGGTGCTCTCCATGTCTAACACTCCTAACATTTTTCTCAAAGAAGGTATTTGTGATACATAAGTATAAGGTTGTGTATTCTACAAGTCTTTGGCCTCTCTTGTTTTTTACTCTCAAACCATACCTTTCAGAATTTCTAATCATCCTCCCCTATGCCCACTTGTGTATTGAAGTCATTAAATATCAGTATGTATGTGGATTTGATCTGGAAGGTTTTATGGAGTTTGTAGAATTGCTGTACCTCCCCATCTACCATAACAGGTAGTGGCCCTTATGTTGCAGTTAATGTGATTGTGATATTTTTCCACATTTATCATGAGCCTTATAGTAAAAGATATCCATCTCATGAAATGACGTTTCTTGTTACCTCTTATTTACTTTTCAAAAGAAAATTTGTGAGCTATGTTTTCATTTAACTGCAGTTTCCTTTTGTCTTCTGGTTTCTTTTATGGTGAGACTGTGGAGATGAATATAATTAATTTCCTCTGGTAATATGTCCATTTGTTGGATACAAAGTCACTGTACCAATAGTTGAAGTTTATAGATTATGTAAAAAAGGCATAATTCCTAGCATCTTCTTGTCCCCTTTTCTGATCACCATCTTGATCACCATCACAGTAGAAGCAGAAAGGGTCTAGACAAGATTGAGGGGTATTTTGTGTTTGTCTTTAATTCATGGGTTTTTGCCACGGCCAAGCAATTTGCCACCATGGTGATTTAGCTTCTGTGTTCTTGTATATGCTGTTCCTTGGAAAACAGACATAGTCTGTTGTCAGTATTGTGCAGCATGGTAGAACCTGTCAGAGATTGTGTTCCATTGACATAACTTTCAAGAAGCCAAGCCAACACCTTTGTGTTATGAGGCATTAGAGTAAGACTTTCTGTAACAAAGTATATAAGCACTACCACTGACAGTAAATTTCTCTATTGTGGCTATAGTCCTGCTTTAAGAAAAGTGCTTGTTGAAGCAAGGGTAATATGTAGAAGAAATAAAAGGAGCATATAATTAAGTGTTAAACTATTTGTTACTAACTATAAATATAATGGGATTTGGGGAAAGGAAAGAAGGAAGGAAGAGTGCTCAGGTGCTGGAATAATTTTTAAAGAATGGGTGATTAGATATGTGATTAGGGGAGAGAAGTATGTAAGATGTGAAGAGGAGCATGGGAATGGCAAACGAGCATGTTGTATGCTGGAGATTGACCATTTGAAAATGGTATAACTAGAATAGTGGGTACATGTTGAGGTGTAGTAGGAAATAGAGTTGAACAGAAGAAAGCATCAGGTTATGAAGAGACATCATCAAAGCCTGGCAGAAATTTAAACTTGATCGGCTATTATAGATTATTAGGCAAAGGAAAAACGAGCAAAGCCATGCTGTAAGAAAATTACTCTGATTATCTGGTGCAGTTGGTAGCAAGAATATAATATGGGTGCCTGAACTATGATGGTAGAAGAGATGGAGAATGAAGGAATGAATCAAATATTCTGAAAAAAATATTAATAGTCATGACAGATTGAGTGTATGTAATGGAAAGCAAAGAATTACTGACACCTCTAAGGTTTAAGAGACTAGAAATATATAGTCAGTACCACCGACAAATAAAAATGAAGAAGTGGAGCTGATAAGTTTGAAGTGAGGGGTATCCATGTGAAGTCCTAGAGACACGAAAAAAAGAGTGGTAAGAGGTTAGCCTGGAGGTATAGGTTTGGGAATAATCAGCAAAGAACCTTAATAAATTTTTATTAGAAAGATGACTGTTTTTTCCTATTTATCTTCTGGCAATGTATTGCCATAATTGAGTATCCTGTGAATTGAATTTTCTTAGGTTGTAATCTGTTTAAATTTATCAAAGTGTAAAACTGAACTCATCTTCTACATATAAACCTGGTCTTCCCATAAAATTCCCAATTTCTGTTGATAAAACCACTATTCTCCTAGTCACTCAGGCTTAGAACTACATAATTATCTTTGACTCTTCCTTCTTCTTCTTCTTCTTCTTCTTCTTCTTCTTCTTCTTCTTCTTCTTCTTCTCTTCTTCTTCTTCTTCTTCTTCTTCTTCTTCTTCTCTTCTTCTTCTTCTTCTTCTTCTTCTTTCTTCTTCTTCTTCTTCTTCTTCTTTCTTCTTCTTCTTCTTCTTCTTCTTCTTCTTCTTCTTCTTCTTCTTCTTCTTCTTCTTCTTCTTCTTCTTCTTCTTCTTCTTTGCTTCTTCTTCTTCTTCTTCTTCTTCTTCTTCTTCTTCTTCTTCTTCTTCACTACCCACATCCAGTTGTCCAGTTCTGTCCGTTCATCCTCCACAATCTCTCAAATCCATTTCCTTCTTTCTGCTCATGCTGCCACCCTCCTAGTTCAGGCCCTCAACACTTCTTACCCAGACTATTCTAATAGTCTCCTAATTGACTTTTCTGCCCTCCACTCCATCCTTCATACAGCCAGCAAAATAACCTTCCTAAATATATAGTCTTGTGACTCCCTATTGTATAGATAGGCCAAGAAGTTGGTAATTTGTTGTGTCATTTAATGCCTTCCAAGGTTGTGTGGGTGTGTATTCTCCGTCATTTCATTCCCTTGTAGAAATAACATTTTGGTCTGTCAGACTGTGAATGTGTCCTTCCCCTCCCCCCCCCAAGCACTAATTGTATTAATTTAATCTTTTCTAGGTGTATTACCTGACCTATGTGCTTCTTCATTTAGTCAGTGAAGTTAGTTCCTGTTCTTTCTCTTTCCAACAAAGGGTAAGGGATCTTTAGTATTTTTAATGTAGTATTTATAAGGGTAATTGAATTCACTATTACCAAAAGTAAACTTAATTTGGCTTTGCTTTGGATGGAGCATGACTTCTTAACCTAGAATCCATAAACTTTAAAAAAGTAACTATTTCAGTATAATTGGTTTTCTTTGTAATCTTATATTTTATATTTTATGCATTTAAAAACATTCTGAGATTGAACATGTATAAGCTATATCAAGTTGCTTACTGTCTCTGGGAGGGGGGGAGATGAGGAAAGGAGACAGAAAATTTGAAACTTGAATTTTTTTAAATAAATGTTAAAAATTATCTTTGCATGTAATTTGTGGGAAAATAAAATATTTTTAAAAATAAATGCACAGAAAAAAAATAAAGTACATTTGTCCAAGTTAAAAAACAAAACAATATGGTGGGGTTTTTTTTAAAACCCTGAAACATTGTGAAAAGGGATCTGTGAGTTTCACAAGACTGCCAAAAGAGTTCATTACACAGAAAAGGTTTAGAACCCCTGTTTTAAAATTGAGCACAAAATAACAGCCGGTGGGGTCATTTTATGAGAAAGTAGGTTTTATAACAGTTAGATTTTTGAAACTAATATCCTGTTGATAGTACTTGTTAATTTTCCTTAATACTGAAGTTGAACCTATTTTTATAATGTTGTGAGATGTAACACATTATCATCCCATCAAGGAAATAAGAGAGTGATGTTCATAAATTTTGACTAATCAAAGTCTGGATCTAGTTGAAATGCACTTTACCCTTTTGTAAATGCTGTTGATTTTCACAAAAATAAACAAGTGTTTATAATAGCTTGGTAAACTTCGATCTCGTCACTTTCCTGACTCAGGCATGATGAACTAATACAGTCACCAGTCTTTAATGTGTTTGTATGGACTATCAAATCCTAAAAAAAAAAATGTTGACTTAGAAACCAAAGTTAACTTCCCAAGGAATTCAGTATGATCAATCTTTTATTAATAAGAGCTTGTTTTGTTTCTGGAGGAAAACAGGTCATCTGTTGAAGCTTGAATATTCCTTGGAGAATGGGCTAGAATACTTCTCATATTTCTAAGGAATTCAGCACCTATTCTGAGCAGTAGATCTGCTTTTCATTAGTCCCTCCATGGATAAGAGCTATTTAGAATTCCTACTTTTATTTTTGGCTATTTTTCTATATTAACTAGCAAGAAACCATAATAGCCCTATTGTCTTGGCAGTCACTGCTTTCACTGATAGGACAGAGTTTGGGTATGATTGTTTTGGTTGATTAACATCAGAAATTGAAAACTGGGGGATGATAGATTTGAAAATGATTGTCAGTTGGCCTGGGTAACTGTGTTACTTTGCATCTTTTGAATAGTTTATAATGCTTCAGAGTTAACTTGTTTAAGCCCCTTGTCTTTGTTTCACGTAGAAAGATTTGCTGCAGCTATGTGGTTCTTTGGAGAAGCACATAAAATGTTCTATCAGAGAAGACGCAAGATTTTTTCATAGGACAAAGGTAAGTGTGAATATTCTTTCTTACCAAATGGTAGTGGACACTAAAAAATATGTATATATGTTCAGGTATATTCTTGAATCCTAAATCCATGTTTAGTGGCTATTTACACTTATATTTTGTTGTCTCTTGTATTTTGAATGGTCTGTAACCATGTGATGATAATGTGTATCATGTGCATAACTTTCTCATCCCAAATTAACTGGTAAAGTCTATCCAGTGTAGGAGTGATCACTTGAGTTTAGTACATTTTTATTTTATTAAGTGAAATATATAGCTTAGTACACAGATGTTAATTTTTGTATTGAGTTACAGATTTTCAAATACCTGTTGGGGATAGCTTTTAGTACTAGAGTAGAAAGCCCTGGTTTCAGAAACACATTCTTTTGAACACTTACTGGAGTTACTGGTCCGTAGAACCCTGTGGTTGTTGCTGACAGACAGGTTCAAAGAGGACCACCCAGCGGCTTTTTTGAACTGGAGAGTCTGAGTCCAAGTTGGTGCCAGAAGCCTCTCTTTTATTTACTCGGGGTGGAGAGTGACAGAAATGGTCTAAGTAATTGCTTCAGAAGATGGTCTTGCTGAAATGGCAAGTTGCATGCTTTCTCTAAACCCACCAGAAGAAAAAGTAGCAACTTATTTAAGTGAAATTGAATCTGCTGAATTCCAGAGGTTGAAAAAGTTCTTTTTTGAACTGACAGACACCTACAGAAAGTTGTTTGACATTAACCTTGTTTAAGCAGTTAAAACTTTTTCCAGAAATAGTTGTATCTCAGGTGCTAATTAACAAACTGATATTAATTGGTTTGATGATTTAAAAGAATGCATCATTTTCATTCTGGTGCAGTGGTCTGTACAGAGACAGATTAAATATGGAGAGAAAAAACACAGTATTTGGATTGCTTTTAGTACTAGAAAGAGCCAACATGGAAAATACAATTGCCTGAACCCTCTTATGCTAGAGCTGTGGCAGCCTCGAGACTTGGCACATCCCACAAGCAAGGCTATCCATATCAATGAATTTTTTATTTTTTTTAAAGGTAATAGATTTAGTTGCCATAATACATGGAAAATGGCAAGAAATGATCCAAAATTCTCGGCCTATTCAGGTAACATTTCATTATATGGTTCTTTTTCTTGATGCTGAATACTTAGTGTGCTTTGAACATATATGCATATAATATATTGCTATATTATACTTTGCTCTAGCATATTACTTAAATGATGATTCATAGTACCAGGGATTTTTGTTTTGTTTTTTAGGAACAGTGCATAAGGGAGCACATCTTTAAAATTGTGTTGCTGAAAATACAAATAGTTTGTATTAAAAACCAAGTGCATTTGTATTTCACTGAAAGGATTTTTTTTTTAATGAAAATCATCCTTTAGGACTTTGTAGTAAGCTCTGCTCAAAGAAAGTTGTCATAATTACTTAATGCCTACCTGTCTGGTGTGAGATTATCTGGGTACATGTAGATTATGTTGTAGATTATGTTGAAATCATAGGAATACTGAAAGGAGTCTTCAGAGGTAATGACTAAGGAAAAGTGAATTCATACTTTCTGACGTTTTGTTGCTTTTAATATTGTTGCTGTTCTTAATTAGATGACCTAATAAGGTATGTATTTCCTTGTAGAGAAAAGCTTTTGTATATTTAACCAGTATTCTCATAGGAAAATTGGTGAAATGTTTTAACTGCCTTTTGTTACTTTCTAACTTCTAATAAGGTTTTTTTCCTCTGCTTAAGGCCAATAGTACATATACTAAAATAGCATTGATAGAGATGGGAATTTATTTCCAAAGATTCATGTTAATCCGCTTAGCATTTTTCTTAATGACCTTCTTTATATATATGGTGCTGAGGGAAATATATATAGTATTCAAAGCATGTACTTTTATTATTAATAGACCACCACCATTTGAATATGGATACCAGTTACTCTGAAGTTGTAAGGAGGCAATATAATACCACACCTACTGCATTCACCTTTCTCTTCAAAGCACTTGATTTGTTTAGAGTTAATCTGGTCGATAGTCTTATGACTATTAATCTGACTCAGCATTCCTTCTCCCCTCACCTTCCCATTTATTTTTAGGGAAAGCTGCATGACTTCTGGGTACCAGATTCTTAATTGGAGTGGCTAAAATGTTGACTCAAGAGAAATTGAACAGGACAAGAACCTTTCCTGAAAATGTGGAAAATGTAGATGCACTTACATAGAAACATTTGCATGGGGAGACAGACAAGTAATGTGCCATTTGAATCCAGACTCTGCAAGAGAATATGAAGTGTGAACCTTGGATGGGATTGTCTGGTTTCTTTACAGGAGATGCTAAAGCTAGAACTTGATTCCTGTTTTAGGAACAGAACATACATCTGATAATAGTGTGTTCTATATGAATGTACTTTTTTAAAAATTCCCATCAAATCACTGATTTATTTTGTCCTGACAAGTTACCCAAAGCCCTGAATTGAAGTGCTAAGAAATTTGGGTAGATTTGCCAAGATAATGCATGTTGCTGTCCCTTTGTAAAATCCTGGATTGTAATTATTTATAAGGTGTGTGGGCTTGAAAACAATTGAAAATCACAGGCTGCTCTTAATGTTTAAAACACTTTGATGCTAGCCTTTGGTTAAATGATATGTTTCAATTAATGTCCTGGTGAGCCAAAGAGCCTTTGATAGTAACAAACTATTGACACTCTTAGTTTAATTAAAAGGGTTTTTTCTGATGCCTCAATGTCTGTATTTCCTAAAACTGGAATGCCAACTAGATGTTTTTTAATTATTAACTTGGGTGATGCAACTCTATCCTGAGTGACTCTAATGAAACAATAATCCAAACAAAAAATCTAAGAGACTAGATCTCTTCTTTACAAAGATTTTTTGGAAAAATACTTGGTCCCCACAATGAAGGTATAGGAGAAGAAAATATTTTTTGTTAGAATTACCATTGTAAAATTAGGTGGTTTAAGTGACTTGAGCCTATTTTAAGCACTGGGGCAGTTAACGTTTCTGTGCCACAGAGTTCAGCCTTCTTTGTAAAATGGGTACTGCATATTCACCCAATTATCAAACCAGTATGTTTCTTCAGTCTCCCTCATTTTGCAATATTACTACCTCTTCAAGGTTTTGTTATAAAATATCTGTCTTTAGTGGAAGAAACAAAAGAGTTTATTTAGATTTGGGCAAAGAGCAAAGGCTCACTGATGCTGGATATATATGTCTATCTATCTAAATGTAGGTATAATTGTCTTTTGATATGTCGTGTAATTTTATAAGGGTTGATATATTTTTCTCACTGACCATTGTGTAAAGTGTACAGATTCCTGAGTATAAAACAGATGCTTTGATTTTTGTATAATTAGAGCATGTAAATATTTTCTTACCATATTCATTAATGGGATTGGACTAGATGGTTTAGGGGGGAAGGCTGGATTGTTTAGGAGTGGTTTGGTTTTTTGTTTGTTTTTTGTTTTTGTTTTTTTACTGCAGTTAAGGCATATAAACTTGCCAGACCTATGGTTTTTTAACCACTTGGGTAAACTTTTATTTAGTAATTGTCACAAAAATAAGTATTTTTAAACTTCAACATCTGTAGTAGGAAAGATTATTGCACATATTTTCTTAAAAGGAAGAAGGGAAAATGATGGTCATAATTCTAAAATAGGCAGCTTAAGTTTACTCTCCAGGTCATAATATGTTGTATTAGTGTGCAGTTAGGATGCTACTACTGAAAGTTTTGGGTCCAGTTTTTATACAAGTAGTCCTTCAGTTTACTTGCCAAATCAGTCAACAAGCATTTATTAAGCACGTACTATATTTCAGGCACTGTGCTAAGTGCCAAGGACTCAAAACAAAGGAACAAAGTTAACATCTGACCTTAAGCAGCATGCCTTCTTTCTTATGGGGGAGTCAACATGTAAATATCTTGAGATCATGAATCTAATAAAATGTAAAGGACCTCAGAGGCCAACTGGACCATCCGCCTCATTTGTTGGAAGAGGGAACCTGATCCCAGGGAGGTTTGGGGCATTGCCCTAGGTCACACAGGTAGTAAGCATCAGGGGCTGGAGCTGATAGACTTCTGAGTCAGTGCTCTTTTTACTGCCCTGCTTCCTGCCTTCTTGAGACCACAGTTTTGACCTGAGTGTGCTCCTGAGATGGATTTTGCAAAGAATCAGAATTTGCTGAAAGTGCAGAGTCAATATAACAGTGATACTGGAAAGATTGTTTCTAAAGCAAACCCCCCCCCCAAGAGGTATTGGAAAACCAGTCTGTAAACAAAGTTTGCCTCAGTGTTGTTTGGTAATATTAACCATGCCAGGACTACACTGTCTAATTTTCTAAGTAGGATGAACTTACTGTCCATATTGCAAGCAGAAAATAAAGGTGTTTTTAAAAATGTTTTTGCTTTTATGTAACTGACTTTTCTAACTTCTTGTTGTATTGTTGTGGTTAATAGAAAATATAACTTTCTCTTACTGAGGTCATATTAAAAAATCCATTTAGCAGTATTGGCATTTGTACATTGTCTCCTGCTGGCTTAGGTGGAGCTGTCAGAAAATGCTAGGCGAGAGGTTAGGATGTGTTGGAAAGATTTTATGTATTTGATGTTACTATTTCAATCACAAGAAAGATGTTTAAATTTGATTTGCAGAAGTCACCTCAGATGTGTCAGGTAGAAAATGGTAACTGAATCAGTATTAGCTATTGAAGAGAGCCCTGAGGTCAATGGCTAGCACAGTGCTTGCACACCTTGAGTGCTTTTGATGGATGTTCAAATTGAATTGAAGCCTATGGCAATATAAATAATATAAATACAGTTGATGGAAAGAGCAGTTAATGAAAGTTACACAGAGAGAAAATAGACAATCCTGACCTTACAATCTAATGAGGGAAACGGCAAGCAAACAGTTCTGGACAAACTAGAAACAGGATTAATAGGACATAATTAAGAGGTACTGAGAAAGGTTTCCTTTAGAAGGCAGGATTTTAGTTGGGACTTAAATTAATTCATGAAAGCTGGAGGAAGGAGCTGATTTTGTTTTTTAATGTACAGGAAGGTCTAATGACAAGGAAATAACTATTTACATGTGACTATGCTAACATATCAGGAATGTTTGGGAAGTCCTCTTGGGCTCCTAGTTTTATGTCTCTGGATCTGGGGAGAGGGTTCAGGTGGCAGGTCAAATGGAGCTGCTAACATGGGTTAGGTTTTTGTTAGGCATCAGTTTTCTTTTTCATCGTGTTCTGCCTCTGTAGCCCTGATTGCTCACTAATTCATCTCTCCAGAAGGGTATCCAGAAAGGGGGAAAAAAGGCTTTTTTTAAAAAAAATCTTATGAAGGTTTTGTATTACATAGTGTTTAAAATCCATTGAGTATGTTACTTGATATTAAAGCTTCATTTTTTTCCAGCTTGAGCTTCTAGTGTTTGGTGGTAATTATTAAGGGCTAAGTAGCCACTTTTAACTGCTTCATACCTCTCACCTCTGTGTGTGTGTGTGTGTGTGTGTGTGTGTGTGTGTGTGTGTGTGTATGTGTGACAGAGAGAGAGAAAGAGAGAGAACCTGTTATCTCACGCTACCCCCCACCTATTGTTTTGAATTACCATGTTCTTCTGTGTATTGTAGTAGTGTTTCTTCAGGTACTTGGGAGGGCAGGTTGTAAATACAGGTAAGTGAAAAATGTTATTTTTGCATAACACTGTATATAGCATTTCCTTTTTTTGTCTTTTTCCGTATATTGTAGTCTAGTTTCCAGTAATCCCCAAGGGAAGATGCTTTTGTGTTCCTGGACATTGTCACTTCTTGTTTTTCTTCTCCCATCCTTATCCAACCACTGTGCTTGATCATCTCTCCTAAACCAGAGGGTATGACCAAAATTATTAAGAAAAGAAAGATACTTTGGTCATTGGTATTAGAATTAGAATTCCAGCAGCCTTCTACTGCTCTAGAAGTTGCTATTTAATAAGAAGTTGAAAGGCATCCACTCATTGGAAGAAGTTTTATCACACAGGTGCCATAATATGGTTACCAGAGACCCCGGTGCTCTTAAGTAGATTCCTATACCCAAATGTAAGGTTTTTTTCTGCTGATTGTCTAGCAGAACTTATGGTGGGTGAGTTAGGAGAGGAGGGGAGCAACCTGGAAAAAACCCTTCACACCCTTCACAGCAGCTTTGATAGTGGGCATGTCTGCATTTGGAGACATCTGCTACATATCAATCAAAACCTACTTCCCAAAGACAAATTAGAGGGATGACCTAAAGAGAAGGCACTAGGGAATTGCAGGTTTGTTGTTACTTGAACCTACTAGTTCCAAATCTTACGTATTGTTTCTCATTAAAATGAGAATGTTTTTCACATCCTATCAAGAGTTTGGGGGCAAGCCGCCCAAGTAAATAAGCCTTTGGTTAGGAGGAATTACATATTGTCTGAGGTCCAGAAAGAAAGCGACAAATGGCAGGTGACATTGAGTCCCATGGAAGTGTCTTGAGACTCAGTTATGGCCACATCACTTTGCTGACTAATGTGTCCCTCAGAAAGTTCAGAGAGAGGCAAAAAGGCAAACTTGAAAGTATAACGTGAGTTTTTGAGCAGACTTATTAAAGCTAGAAACTTTTTAAGAAGCAAACTTGGTGAATGCTAATGAAATGATATGTCTGAGAATGTTGTAATCAAGACAATCTGCACAAGGAGCAGTTAAACTGGACATCAGTGAAAGAAGTTGAAACCTTGTGATTGCCTGTTGACAACCCAAAATAAAAGTCCTGGGGGAAAAGGAAAGTGCATCTGGGATTGGGAAACTATCCCACAAGCCCTTGGTACACTTTTTTCCACCCCACCCTAGAGAATCGCTGGGAAGGTTTCAAGGGTTTACATTCCCACCCTGGAAGTATGGAGGAGATGGGATCAGAGCAGAGTGGTTAATAGTACAAAGGAAAATTAAGACTAAGATTCTGCCTTCTTAACTTTCAATGTACTCTTCAAGTAGACAGGACCTAAATGAAGAATGCTTTAAAGGCAAGAAAGCACAAGTTAACTTTTTTTGTTGTTTTTTGTTTTGTTTTGTTTTTAGGCAACTGGAGTTAAGTGACTTGCCCAGGGTCACACAGCTAGTTAAGTGTCAAGTGTTTGGTCTGAGGCCGGATTTGAACTCGGCTACTCCTGACCTCAGGGCCAGTGCTCTATCCACTAAAGCACAAGTTAACTTTACACAGCCTCACTTTCAAAATGATTGACTGCATATGTAGCCTTTTCAAAGCCTTTTCATATGATTCAAATCCCATGAGTGGGTGTAATGGAAAGAGAACACCTGATTCAAATCCTGGCTCAGATAATTTACCATATTTTGGCTTTTTTTTGGCTTTTTTTCTTTACTGAAACTTAAATACACAATAAGAAAAGAAACATTATAAACTTAAATATTGAAACTTAAATACAAAATAAGAGAAAAAAGCATGTCATGTGCACAGCAGAACACAGAAGATTCAAAATATAGCAATAAATTTCCATTTCAAGAAAGTCTACAATAAATACTACGAATTGTATTGAGAGCTGTCTTTTTCTTTGCTTCCTTGTTCTCTTGTTCTCTGCTGTGCATTTTGCCCTTTGTTCTTTTTTCCCCTTCCCCTCCAGAAGGCTACAGTTATTTATGGATATATTTATATATAGTTATATTTATATACATAACATACACACACATATAGAGACATACTTTCCCTAAGAAATTCTACTTCTACCTGTTAATCTAAACACCCTTCCTCTCCCTCCATCCTATCCCCTTAGTGTTTCATTTCTTTATGAATTTAGAAGATTTTTATATTTTTAGGTATATATGTATTGTTCCCTCTTGAACCCATTCCTGATGAAAGTAGGTTTCCAGAACTTACAGCCCTCCTCTCCCATCTAATTCCTGTGTCCTTTCTTCCCCATTTGTATAAAATAATTCTTCAGTTTCTATAAAATAATTACTCTTTTTAGCTGTTCATAAGCTGTTTTACTTTTTAAAGTCATATATTCAGGTCTACCTCAATCTTATGAACTACTAAATTACTAATAATCTTAGACATATGTTTTACATTTTACATACATAAAAGGTAAATAGTCTGTCCTTATTGAGTCACTTGTAATTAGTCTTTGGTAGGTACCTTATATTTCCCTTGGCTCATCTATGTCAAATCTTCTATGAAGTTCAGGATTTTTTTTTTAACAAAGTCCTGAATTAAATGTCCTTTTTTTTTTTCCATTCAGGATTATGCTTTGCTTTGCTGGGTATGCTATTTTCAGCTAGAACCCCAGTTCTTTTGTTCCAAGACCTGTGGTCTTTTAGTGTCACCGCTGATAGATCTTGTGTGATTCTAATTGTGGAACTGCCATACTTAAATTTTTTTCTTGTTGCTTGTAATATTTGATCCATAAGCTGGGGATTTTGGAATTCAACGATAATATTCCCTTGGGTTTTCCTCATAGGCTCTCTTTTAGGTGGTGATTGTCGGATTTTTTTCTATTTCCACTTTCCCCTTTTGTTCTAATGCTTCAGGACAATTTTCTTTATTTCTTGTATTATATCAATATTCTTATTTTGATCATAGCTTTCAGGCAGTCCAGTTATTCTTATAGTTTTCTCTTTTTGGTCTGTTCTTCAGATCAGTTGTTTTTATTATGAGAAGTTTCACATTGTCTTTTTTTTATTCTTTATATTTTGTTTTATTATTTCTTGATCTCATAATTTCGCTGGCTTCCCCTTCCCCAATTTTGATTTTCAAGGTTTTTTTTTTCCTTAAGATTCTGGATCTCCTTTTCCGATTGGTTGACTTTCTTTTCATAATCTCTTTTGTCTTAATTGTTATTTTTCTTAGTTTTTCTTCAGTCTCAATTGATTTTTAGTCTTTTTTAAGTTCTACTGTGAATTCTTTTTGAGCAGGTGACCATTTGGCATGTGAGCCTCTTTCTATATTTGTAAAATGAGAACAATGCCTACACTTCCTACATTACAGGCTTATTGTGGGAAAGGCACTTGAATAGTTTGTATAGTGCTATAGAAATGTTAGGCATTTTCCCCATTTTACAGGTGAGAAACAAGACCAAAGGAATTAACTGATTCATATGCACAATTAGGACTAGAACCTAACCTTTCTAGCTTCTAGTCTAGTGTTCTTTCTGGGACCACAAAGTACTTCTCATCTAAAAGATTGAGGCAAAAAGTACTAAAAGGTTTGGTAAAGAAATAACCTGAAGGGGGCAGCTAGGTGGTGCAGGGATAGAGCACTGGCCTTGGATTCAGGAGGACCTGAGTTCAAATCCAACCTCAGACACATAACACTTAACAGCTCTGTGACCCTGGGCAAGTCACTTAACCCCAGTGCCTAGCCAAAAGAAAGAAAAAAAAAGAAATGAGCTGAGGAAGTTGGTAGCAGTCTTTCTGGGGGAAGTTGTTTTTGATAACCTGTTTCTTTTCCCTGTAGGATAACGCTAGGCTTTGCAATCAGATACAGTAAGAGGCCTCATTCTATCCTAACAAGTCAAATATATTCACCAATGAGTATCAAGCAATGAAATTGCAGACTTTCCTAAATTTAAAAAAAAAAGGTAAAGATAAAAGGAAGGAAACAAAACATTTATTAACTACCAATTTGCCCGGCACTGTACTAAGCATGTCACAAGTATTATGTCACGTGATTCTCACAACAGCCCTGTGAGGTAGGTAGTTTTGTTAGCATTCTCATTTTACAGGTGAAAATGAGACAAATTAAGCAACTTGGCCACAGTCACAGAGTTAGTAAGTGTCTGAGGCTGGATTTGAACTCTGGTTTTCCTGACTCCAAGCTCATCGCCCATTGCTCTGATCCCTAATAAAGTGAAGACCTGGGTTTTGTTGCTAAAGCCAGTAGCCCTAAGCCTGATTTTACCCACTTATTCTTCAGCAGCACTAGGTCCTACAGTATCCTAGCAAGCAGCTTCTGCACAAAAGGCAATGAACATGAGTCAGTTCACAGTTGAGCAAGTCAGCTTGACTTGTATTCCCTTGGGACATAACCCTTCTGGTAGGTCCTTCAGCATCATTGTTAGAATTATCTACCTTAAACACAATTTTCATCTGGGCATCTCCCCATTTCCCTCTTTTCTGACACCACCAAGTCTAAATTTCTGAGTCTAGGTTTAAGGTAACTGTCATTACAGTCAAGAAAAGCACCAGATTTGGAGTTGGGCCCTCCGTTCAAATATTGCTCTGCAACCTAGAACAAATCACTTCCCCTCTTTCGAACTTGTGGCTGGATTTGAACTCAGGTCCTCCTGACTCCGAGGCAGGTGCTCTACCCACTGCCCCACCTACCTGCCCAAGGGAAATGATTTTTTAAAAGGCATAATTAAGTTATTAAGTGGGAGAAATTTTTTTAAAAAGTCTTCCAGGGGAATGGG